TTTTTACATAGATTGTTTATTTTTCGTATTTTTCCCGCTATGACAAAGAACTGCCATCTGCCTTATTTATGAATGTAAATTTATTCGAAGTCAGTGTAACTACAACAAAAAATTAACCTTTCAAAAAAGTGAAACATTTCTTATATGTTGATATGACGAAAAGTTCCRATAGAACTGCATTTAGATAAAATTTCTTGCCGAAATTCTCCTTAAAAATCTCGTTTGAAATAAAATTCTTACWGTCAAAGGCATAATTATACATTCATAGACTTTGATATCCAGCAGGTTTCCACTAAGTCATATTGTATTTAGTTAATTTGTTCTCTAGAATCGTTGACTGTTTAAAACTAAATATGGTAACGTAAGCAACCAATCGCTGCGAGAARCGTTCTAGGCTTGCTTGCTGCGAATATTTCAGAGTTTACTTTGAATAGGGCGTCGTTTAGACCAATTCGGAGTGCTAGCTTGTTCCACAAACCACACAGTTTCAAACTTTCAACAATGAGTAAGTTTTCAATGCAGCAACGTCGAGAGGAGAAACCAAAGGAAGAGCAAGAAGAAGAGGTGAGCTAAATCATTGTGATTGGATTTGAGCTATTTGAGTTTTATTGATACTTTTAATTCTTTTATTTTCGTTAAGGACGATTCATGGAAAGATACAAATGTCGGAATGATAGGAAGTGACCTCGATCGTTCGGTAAGTTAAACTTTAAAATGTTTTATTTAAATGTTTTCAAACTCTACCTGTAAGATTACGTGTTGAGATTTCGTTTTGATTTTTCGTCTCCTTTTCTTTCATTACTCGGATTATTTTATTTAAAAGAATCCATTTTAAGTATAATTTTCTTCTCCAAATCTCGTAGTCTTGGAATCTTTCTTCGAAGTCAGTAATCTCGAATATCATTCCTTCCAAATCCCGTATTCCCCTGTCCTGAGTCCGAATTTTTCCTCCATGAATGTCMAGAATATCGGATATTTTTTAAATAGACGACTGTCCCCGGAWTTTTTCGTTGTCTTAAAAACTTATTCCAATAAAGGTTTCGTATTTTTACATATATTTATTTYCCCCCTTAAAMTCCCGTATTCCCATCCTCAGCAACCYAGGAGTCTAAAAATTACGCCTGGGCTTTCGARGATGTCCATATAATCGTAGCTTTTTCTCTTAATAAGATGCGCAACCGCCGATATTTTCCTTAAAATTCTGCTATATCTAAGCGTTTCGGAAGGTCCTGAATTTCTATATTATGCAGTTCTTGAATAGCGCTTAATTGGCCAATTCTTGACACTATACAGACTTTTRTGATATTCAAAATTTAGATTTTATTTTTATTTTTAGGTTAGAAAGGATGCGGCAAATACAGAAAAAGCTTGGCAGAATGCAGGACAAAAACCTGGTGTAGAAGTCTGGAGAATAAACAAGTTCAAGGTAAATAAAAACACAGAAYATTCGAGGAGAAATTYGACAAAAAAAAWTAAAAAAYACGCGKCTTTCTCTCCATTAATATCTTACCTGAAACGAAACACTGATGTCCTATTTTAAAAATAATCTAATATTCTATACATTTAGATTAGTTGTAAGGTCGAATTTCTACCGAAGCGAAAATTCTCTTATGAAAGCGTATATCGTCTTTTGTAATCCAAAAACAACCTAAATTTTTATGAATTTACCTTAGTTATAGACTTTGTGAGACTTGTAGTGAAAATAACTCCCTTTTATATTGAGGTGGATATTCCGGAAGAAGCATAATTATTCCTCTTTACTCTGACGAAGGATTAACATCCGAAACGTCAGTAAGTTTTTCCACATACTTTTTTACGGTGTTAAATTTATCTTTTTACATAACTGTTTCTTTAGAAACACCGACGCAGCTCACACTAGTTTACCGCTAGTTCCCACCATAATTATATCTCTTTGTTGTGAAAATAATAGGCAATGTTTTGCAAGGAAAAAACGTTCTATGTGCGGATCTGAAACTCGAACGAGCTCACGTCTGACCGGCAAATTGATTTTCAAGTACTTCTTAGAAAAGCTTGGAAATCTTTGCATTTTAATGGATATTTTTAGAGTTTAAAGAATTATAMAAATTTTTGTGCAACATTTAAAGGCATAAATGTTTTATGGATTTTTGTTTAAGTTTTTTAAATTATGTGAAATCTTGGCATTTACCCTAATATGGTATTGTGGGATCAGTTACCATGGTGACCTTCRGCGCGTCCCACCACGGGGAGGAGATCTGGGAAAAAATAACGAAGAAAAATAAGAATCAGTACTTTGATCCAGCGCCTATCTTATTCTATTCGAAAGTTACAAACCTGCAACTTCAAGTTCTATCTGATTTACTTGAAACATTATGATTTAGTATGACGACTTTCATAATGGCCAAAACTAAYTAGCATAATATCGCTAAATTCATAATGCCCTCCCCCCCCCAAAAAAAAACAAAAAACAAAAACAAAAAACGCTCAGATGATAGATATCAAAGCTAAAGATAAGGTCTGAAAATTTCACAGAAAAATATTAAAAAAAAAACACCAAAACGAGGCCACCCAACCCTAAGTAAAGAATTTCATACAAATACATGTATTTTTATTCCTCTATAACTTTGTTAGTATTTAGACCGTAGATTAAAAAAACTGTAAAAATACCTATTTCTGATACTTCTTCCACATTAAGAACTAAACTGAATGTTTCTATGATATTGTCAATTGCATAAAAACGATTGCAGGCGACACTGGTGAAAAACGCACTGCGCATGCCCACAGCTTTCCCGCCAGTGGGCGCTCGCGTCTTGAAATCTGTAAACAGAGCGACTGGCGATTTACAGCGACAACACAGAAAACACTACGAAAAACCTSATTTTCTCAAAATAGAAATAACAAGATAAAAATAGAAACTACATACTAAAAGAACATGTCATGAACAAAGATTGATGGAAATATGAATCTTATATATCSGTGAACGAGCTTATAAATTGTAAAAAACTTTCACAAAAATCGCTTTACAAAGGAAATTAGGGAGGTTTCAGCGGGAAAGCTGTGTAGACATGCGCAGTGCGTTTTTCACCAGTGTCATTGTAGGCACTTATGAAAGTGTTTATTTTGTTTTATTTTTTTTTTTTTTCAGGTCGAATGCGTTGATGTTGACGATTATGGTAAATTCTATGAAGGCGATAGTTACATCGTATTGAATACTTACAAAAACAAAGAAACGGAAGTAAGTGAAGATATAAGCTGTCAGATTGTTGTGACTGTTAGCTCAAGACGTCATCACTACCGTCATCTCTTAGATTCATAACAGTCTATTGAAGCCCCTATTAATAATGATCTACTTTTACTGTTGTTATTATTAGCCATATTTTTTCACTAATAACTTAATCTAACATACCAAGACTAGCCTTGAAGAATCCCAACCAACCACAATGCAGCGCGCGCTCGTGTTTTTGTTTACATACGTTTAAATCCGTCAAACATACATATATGTTATGTACCGGCTGGGAGGTCCGTATAGGAAAACACTGCCCGATGTCTTGACATAAAAGACCGAGGACAGTGTTTTTCTATACGGACCGACCTATAGCTGGTAAATAACATTTTTATTTTTTTTATTTGTATTTTATGCAACTTTGCTCGCAGCCTAGCTGCAGGATACTGTCGGACCGGGCAGATCGCGAAAAACCGGACCACGCGCTAGCCAATCACAGCGCGCGAATGACTAGGATACCGGAACGAAAAAAAAAAAAAATAGATTATTGATTGATAGTACATCTTGGGCACTTATTTAAAGGTATTTCTGTCCAAAAGAGATCCTACAAATCCGCCATTTTCGTGTTCAACTAAAWTGGTACTTCGGTTCGCAAGGTGTGATTCTTTAAGCTGTTTTTAGGTTGAATTATCTGTAATTATGGTTATTAGACCCGTTTCAGACGTGGATGGTTCGTCGAGCCTAACGTAATTGCTGGAGTTGAGTTTATGAGCATTTTGTACTCTGAATTTATTGACATTGGTAGATTTTGTTCAGTTGGACAAACTTATTATAATCTGCAAATATCAATCGATGTAGACTGGAAACTTCTCGAGAACTGCATGTAAGCAATTAGATTAGACGNATAAACCATCAAGTCAATCTGTCAATCAGAAAGATGACGTAATGATTTATTTTTACTTCTTATTTTACCAGAAAAACAATCCCAACACGTTCTCTTTGGTAGAAGTGGACATGAAGTGGTCGAAAATCTATTCTGATAGTGTGCTGTTGATCGCCACTAACGATAAAGTATTCCAGGTAAGAGGACTCGGTCCAGTGACTTTTTACTTATATAACTTAGGCATTCAAATTTGAGCAGTTAATAAAAATTATTAACGCCGATAAAAAGTACAGCGCAGTCTCCTCCCCAGGTTTCACAAAGAATCACGGGCTTCCTGTCTTTTTTTGGGAGTCACAAGAGGGAGAATGGGGGCGAGAAATGGTAGGCGTGGTCCACACACGTCGATATTCGGCAGGCAACTCCTCTTCTTATTTTTCCTTTCTCGTCACTAGTCCTTGAAGGCCATTATGACCGTTACAAAGGAAGCCCAAAGGAGGAAAAAGGAGGTGCCAGGGGAGGAGGCTAAGTACAGCCTAAAATTAGCAAATTTACCAAGTTTGAGAATAATCAGTTAAAAATAATATGTTGTACAAAAAATATACAATAAAATTAAAGCTATAAATCATTACAATATGTATAAAAAGAGAGATTGGACGTTTTTGAATACGAAGTCATCAGAAATTGAAAATTCGAGAAGATACAACTTCTCAATTACACAAAGTTTTACAAAGAAATGTAAGGTGTGTTTGAGTTGTTTAAAAAAACGTTACGTACATTTCTTTGTAAATTTTCAAAGCATTACAGTCAAAGTTCGTAAATGCAATGATTTTAGACCGTTCTTTTTATGGTGGTGATTGTTTTTTTGATGTTTTTTTTCACTAACTGCTCGATTTCGAATGACTAAGTTATCCATGGAATCCCCTATTAACAAAATTAGATAATAAATTGATGCATTTATTGTATAGTATGTTTGATATTCACACGCTCTGGCGTTTGAGGACTTCTGGATTTCGAATTGCTAGGTCATCCATCAAATCACCTAATAACAAATTTAGTTAATATATTGATGCATTTATTGTATTTAACAATTCGCAGGCGGTTTTCCATTGTCTGTACTCTTATTGACAATGAAATTGACGTCAAAAATGCTCAAAACTCAAGTGGAACCACGAGCGTAAGCGAGCAAAAGTTTTGAGCATTTTTGACGTCAATTTCATTGTCAATAAGAGTACAGACAATGGAAAACCGCCTTCGAATTGTTTTTTTACCATAAAAAAGCTGAAAACAAAGTAAAACTTTAAAAACAAAACCGTTTCTAGCGCGCACCGGCTCCGTGCGCGAGCGATTCGTCATTTCATCCGCCTGTCCTAGGATTGACAACGGCCCTCGACCAATCAGCGCGCGAGAATTCTACAAGTTATGGTAAAAAATATGTTTGATGTCTGACTTCTGAGCTGAATTCTTGAATTGCTGTGTTTTTTTTTAGCTGAATGGCCCTAACGCCTCACATCGATACAAGTACGGCATGAAGCAAGTACTCAAGAGCCTCGATGTCATGG